TACAAAAGAGTTTATTTTCATTAAATAAACATGATGAAGTAAATACACTCTTGCAATTTGCATACATATTCAATTAACTTCTCTCCAGGAAGTTCCCTTTAACCAAGTATATTAACGTATTCTGCAACCCTGATGTCGCGAAAGTATAAAACAAATGTGGCAATAACTATATTCAAGAAATTATAACGCTGTAACAAACTTTGTCAGTAGGATATAACTTCAGTCATAACTAATCCCATCAAGGAGTGATACCTGCTAACCAAAATGGTACACATACTTTTGCCTCTTTTTTCCAACATTATTTCCCAGAAAGACTCACAGATAGTTTTACAATGCCCATTCAAAGCATCTGCATCTAGGGGTCAGCTTGCTTGCCAATTGGTTCCAGTCAAGCCCAAACTTGCCTATCGTAGTCTGTTGGTATTGTCCTTTTGATGATTTGTCACAGACGGAGTTTCTTGATTACCCGTCTTACACAGTAGAGTATACAATATTGTTGCTACATGGGATATATTTCGGTCTTCTTTTTAACCATGAATATAGACGGCTTCAGAAACAACATAAGTGTCACTTGAGTACTGATTTTCCCCATTTACATTCCATATATTTTCACATTTAGGGTTATGCAAGACCTCAGACAAACATTGGCAGACCCCAAAACATCAAACACACAACCTGGCTTTAAGTTACATATGCCTCCTATTCTCCTGTTGGGTTTGAAATCTGCAAAAAGTTAAACATCAAGAACTGGTGTTTTGTGACTAACTGTAGGTATGAGCATGTTTGTGCTGTACCAGGTGTTCAAATAAGCATCCTGTTCAATTACACTCTATGGATGGCAATTCGAAAAACCGGGAGTAAAAGTAAGGCATACACATGACCATATCATGTCTGCCTGGTCAAACGAATTGCAAAGTGATTTTGGTCTCCTGAGTTCATGTTTGTCATATTTGTATTTCATAAACAGTTTTGTTAAAGTTCAGGCGTTTCGTTTTCTCAATTTAATGTTTTATATTTTTCTTGCCAGGGCGACTATATAGTATGGGGTTTTCTCATTGTTGAAAGCTGAAGGCTTGACTTACTTACATCTAATTCATTTGATCTTTGGAGAATAGTTGTCTGGTTGGCAATCATAACACATCTTCTTTTATTTTATTATATTGATAAAGGTTTTCTTCTTCTTCATGGGACTGAGTCTGACTTTGATATCATTGATTCGACAGATATCACTTCAAAATTTCAAGCAAAAAGATCATCTGTCCGCCAAGTCCTCTTGGCACATTTATGATAAAGCACATGAACATTTTTGACCGAAATTGAGAAAAACAACTATATATTTGCAGATGTTACACCCAAAAAGTTTAGTCCTATGAGTGTAATTCCTAAGCCTGGGCGGTTGTATGGCTCAAGCATTATAACAGCCGCCTTAAGTGTCTGGTATGAACGATTTTGCGGATGACCCTTCTTGACAATTTTTTCAAACTTTAGATGATGCAACTAAAATTGTAACATCCGACTACTGCATGGCAAAAGTGGATTGGAAGTCAGCATATTGGTTAGATCAAATAAGGATTGCTAGCCAACAAGGTGACTGGTTTTAAATGTACATTCTCTGGTGGTAAATAATTTACCTTATTTGATCACAAAATCCCTTAAAGTTCAAAATTGACTCTAAATTCTGTCCATTATTTGTCCAAGGATATTATATTTAATGATGTCACGTAAGAGCTTTACCACTGTAGCTTAATAAAATTATTTATTCATTCATAAGCGCATAGATGCAGAAAAAGCTCCACATGTGCTTATTACTTTTACTTGTTACTTGCTATTGATTGGTCAAAAGTGTTTAACCCTCATCAGCGCATCACATTTCGGGACGTAAAAAAAAAGATTATGCCACTATGGAAGTTAGAATTTCAGGCGATAAATTAGCCGAGTTGAATATGAAGCTATAGGCGTTAATTAAGCGACCACACGCTTTAAAAAAGCAACTGCAATTCCGTGCGGGGAAAATAACTGGACGTTTGTGGGGGAAGATTTTTTACCAAGCAATATCAACTCATTTAGCTTGATTGGCATATGGCACACATTAAGGGTGATAAAGCACAAGATTTTGTTTGGTGGCACCACTTTATGTGATCTGTATGTGACAAATAATCATTCACGTCATTGGCAACAGATGCACGTCTTTATGTGCCTAGTGATAAAATCGCTATATGATTTCCCTTTCGCCAAAAATTTGCACATTTATGAACTTGAAGCGATATTTTTTTTCTTTATTGCTAGGCGTTGGTCAAAAGCATGACACAATAAGAGTGTTCTATTTTAAAGATAATGTAACATATAGCTATTCGAACAAGTCTTCGAAATTCTTCCGCAATGTCTTTTTAAAGGAGTTATTTTAGTTGTAAGCTTGTTATGATATTGTAACTATCATATTTATTTAGTTGGCCTAATTTGTTTTGTGTGGCCTTATAATATGTTTACATACAATTTTGTAGTTGTTTACAAAATGATAGTGTAACTGTGCAGTTAAGAAATCACTGGAACAATCATAGTTTATATGATGGAATGATTAGAACTTTCAAGTTGACTTACATAACGATTCCAGAATGATCATAATAAAAGATGCGTAATTTGAACTTCTTATATTGTTCTAGAAATTTCCATTCTACCGTTTTCTAGGAGTTTCCTTTCTCCAGTGTTCTAGAGATTTCCGTGACAACTATATATATACAGACACTGAAGTTAAACTTTCAGATATAAACATCAATAGACATTAATATTCTTAGAAGTTCTTTCAATTGGATTGATTCTTTTATTTACAAACAACATCATACTAGATTGTGACCTATTGGACGTAATATTCTGTTTGGATTCCCGAGAATATTTCCGAATAAAGAAAAGACAAAAGTTCGGACATATATTTTGACAGTTAAGTTGACATTTCTTTTTGTGTAATACTTCTTGTAAACTTGTGTATAATAAATCTTGTTAAATTTTATTATTGATTTGTGTCTTTTGTTGGCTTCAATGTAAAGGTGATTTCTGGCCGTAACAAGCTTTGTATAATTTTTGCATAAATGAATTATACATTGTATGCTAATCATATGCTATGGCTGATATGATTTCTTGTCTGCATTCACTTTTTCTTACCTACTACTCGATTTGTGCACAATCTTAGTTCCTATAGGTCTAGGCATTCCCTTCTTTTATTTTGCTTAGGCTCACAGGGTTTCAAGGACATAACAGCATTGAGTGGTATTGTCCTGGACTATTCATGCAATGCATATGCAGAGTCAAACAAAAAACATACATAACTTCCATAGTCCTATGTGGAGTTTTGTAATTTATTGAAGATTCTGACGGTTCCCTTAAGTCAAGAAAATTAGGCCAGATATATTGTCCACATGTCACGTCGTATAAAGTATAACTCTTTGTGTAAATATTTGTCTAACATACAGATTTTGTATATTGTCGGGTATTATGGGACGTTATCACTGCTTAGTTGCCTATTATACTTAAGATTTTGTTCCGTATTTTACCATACTCTCCTTTAATTATACAAAAGATGCTGCAATCAGGGCAGCCAGTCTAGTTGCTTTCTGTCCGTCGTCCACTCTGTTAACAGGATGTTTGTTACACCTTATAGTTTTCTTTACATGTTCCCTATACATAACCTAATGTGTTGTTATGTAATGTACATATTGACTCGTATCTATCTGAAAAGAAGGTGGTCTCTATGGGGTTCCAAGTTTACAGAATAATGGACAAACACAATAAATGAGAAAGGAAAATTCTGACCAAAAAATAATAATATTTAGTTGCTTAAATATAAAAAAAATAAGGAATAATGGGAATATGTTTTAGATAATATAGAAAAATGACGTGAAAAAAAAATACTAACAGGAGCAACACGACGGGTTCCACATGTGGAGCCGGATCAGTTTAGCCTTCAGGAGCACCTGAGATCACCCCTAGTTTTGTTTAAAATGGGTTCGTGTTGCTCTTGCTTTAGCTATAAGTGTTGATCCTTGTTTTTCAATATTTGTGTTGTTTATTCCGTTAACAGTCTCGTTTATTCTTTGTCATAAACATATGGATGTCTAATCATTTGATATAACTTTTCAACGTATTTGATAAGAGTAACACGACGGATGTCACATGTGGTGCAGGATCTGCTCACCCTTGTGGAGCACCTGATATCACCCCCAGTTTTTTGTGGGGCTCGTGTTGCTCAGTATTTATTTTTCTATGTTGTGGTTTGTTTATTTTTGTTTGTCTAGTGGTCTTTTTTTCTTTTTTAGTCATGGCGTTGTCAGTTTATTTTACGACTTCTGAGTTTGAATGTCCCTTTTGTATCTTTCGCCTCTCTATTAAAGAAAGAAAATTAATGTATGTTTGGACATCCTAGATTACATGTATATGACTAGTTAATTTCAATAATTTAACATGATGTTGTACGAATTGTCACATTTTACATTGTTGTTCGTGTATATAAATGCAAACGACACAGAAATGCTACAACTTCAAAAGAAGTTGGAAGTAACTTCCTCAAAACCTAAAATGAAGGTGTTGTTATAATTTTCCTTAGAAATGTGTAAAGATTACATACACATGTATAGCTGAGGTAACATTTAGAATTTATTGAAATAATTAATTTTGTTAGACACACCTGTTTATGTCTATACAAGACTAATCCCAACCCTTCTGTATGGATAGTAAAGTAATGTGTATGCTTTGATATGTTGTTCCAAGTTGTTTAAGAGTAATTTGAAATCTTTCGTCTGTGATAGTTGGTGGACTGCGGATTACTTTTGTACTTCGACTTAGGATCTTATATTCTAGCCATGTGTCCTAATTAATGGAATTTGTCAGTAATAGCTGGTTTGTTTGACCAAGTCATGTGTGAAAATATTTTAAATTCTTAAATTAGTTGAAATGATATTTGCCTTCTTGGGGCGTTATACTGTCACCCCTCTAAATATATTTGAAATTAATACTGCTTAGAAATCATTTATTGTGCATATGCTATAAGTTATTATTGTAAATCAATAGAAATGCTTATAACATTTAAATGTCGCATTATGAATTACATTTAGCATACATTTTTCCATTTATGAGTTCAGTTTGTGTATTTGCTGGAATATCAATCCATTGATCATTCCAAAAGCAGTTATGTGTTTCGTAAGTATTTCCATATCGTGATTTCACTCCTGTAAAAAGAAAAAAAGTAATTTAATTATGAATTAAAATTTGATTGTTTTTCCAACATGTCCAATGTATTTTCATTGTTTTAGAGAATTCAATGATATGTATTCTTATGACATACGTTATTAAATCCATTAAGAAACTACGGTTACCCAGTCAGGTAAAGTAGATATTGCATAAGTTTAACTGTCCGTTTTTATGTATTTTATACAGAACCTGGCTTTTGAGCGTGCCGAAAGAATTTCTTTCAAGCAGTGTTAAAGCATTTTGAATTATCATTAGATTTTATTTGAATACATGGAGATGGACGAAAAATGGCTTGTGATTTTTAAAATGAAATATTTTCGAACCTAACATAATGAAAACCGACAGTTCAGACTATAGTTTTGGGGAAACACATTTGGTATCCTCGAAATTAAGTTATAATAGTGCATTATATATTAATGGGAAGAACGCCATTTTACTAGGCTTCTACCACTACAAAAGTCAAAAAGTCTGAAAAGACCAGTTTTTGTCTGAATTTGCATGAATTTTTACTCGACATTCTAAATTTGTCTGAATAATTTTTAAAAATTCTTGACATAGTATGAATTTGTCTAATAAGGTTCTTGATTTTTCTTGACAAGTGTCTTGACAGTATGAACATTGTGTTAAAATTTCTCGACACTTCCTGTATCATCTGATACGAGTCTGGATTAGTCACGACCAACTCTTGACTGTCTTAAATTTGTCTCGATCTGTCTTGACATAATCTTGACATTCTTAACAATGTCTGAATATGTCTCGACATATTATTGACATTCTAAATAATGTCTGAATATGTCTCGACACATTCTTGACAGTCTTAAATATGTCTTGACACTATCTCAACAGTATAAATTTCGCCTGAAATGTGAACAGACTTATTCTGCACTGTTTATGACATTCTATTGCTGTTATATACTCCTTTTTATTATGGCTAAACTAAACTTTGTAGAATCAAGGATTAATTTGGTATAGTAAGATACCCTTTTGGTGCAACTAAGTTGGAATACCCTGAATAATCCCCCATGTAGTTTAATTTTGATTTATTTTTATTAAACATTTAAGTAATTGTTTTCACTTGGAATATAAGTCGAAGGTATTGACAAACAGCATTTAGATTTTTGCCGTTCGCTAAACTGCCAGTCAAATTTGCTTTACTAAAATAGGTGTCTTGTATCTCTTTTGGACCCCACAATTCATCTTTTGGGTTTCTGTGGCTAAAAAAAGAGGGGGGGGGGGGGGGTGCTTTCGTTTAGGTCAAAGAATTTGTTCCCATCTTGATTCAAAAACCTTATTCATTTTTTAGAACAACCCAAAATCATTTTTTATTCAAATTTGAGTATTGAATTTTATAATTTTTTATCAAAAATAAATATTTGTGATAACTCCTTCCTGAAAAGAAAAACGTGTTTAGAAATATATTATGCATGTCTGTTTGAGAGCCATTTCATAAGACCGATGATTTCTAAAGAAATCAATGATGGGACCCATTATAAATACATTTTTTTATTATTCCTGGAGTAGATAATAATTTTCTTTTAATCTTTGGGAATTACTCAATTTGTTTTTATGTTAAAATAATTAACTTCATAATTTTGATGAAGAAAATCCATTTCAATTCAATTTTTTTTCATCAAAATGATGATTTTCATTTTTATCTATCAACAAATTTTTTAAATTGTAGTGGCATGGTCGGTCAACTGATAAGTTGTATGGCTGATTACAGGTAAAGCAATAACTTCTATTTGACAGTTGCGTGTACTCTGGGGTGTGGAATACCTTAATTTTATGGGGAACATCCTGTCCATGTGTAATACTTAATATATTCCAACAGATGACATTACACAAATTTTTCTTCTGTTAAATGAATGATTTGTATATCATCATAATTTGCTATTTATATAAACCACATTTTTGTATAATAATTATTTACCATATCAACATTGAATATTATGAATGTAGAATGAAACATGTTTACAGTATGATTGGTTTGAATCATTTAATTTATAAGATTTAGGAATCAAAATTTGTAATTATTTAAAAACCCACATTGAAATTGTTTTATATCAACACACCCACATTTGAATTATTTTATACTTTAGATTTCATAGCCATATTTGCATTTGTAAAAATATTTATATACCCAAATTTTCAATTATTTTACATGCCCAACTTTTTTTGTTGTTGTAAAGAAGTGTAACTTGAAACAACAGTATATCATATAAAGAGAAATAAAGATTAAAGTTATATCATGAATATTGGTCATGATTTGTAAAACTCAGAACTGTCAAGTAAATTCACCATTCAAAATGTTCAGAATATGTCAAGCCATACTGAGAAAAAATAAGAATGTCGAGAATTTGTCAAGAAATTTTAAGACCATATTCAGAATGTCGAGAATATGTCGAGTAAATTTCATACAAATTTAATATAAATGAGAATTTGTCAAGAAAAATTAAGACACAAGTCATACTTTTGGAGAATGTCGAGTAAAAGTTCATGCAAATTAAGACAAAAACTGGTCTTTTCAGACTTTTAGACTTTTGTAGTGTACGAAACAAAACAATTAAACAGGCAAGTAATTTTAAAAATTCTCTAGTTCATCTCCTGACGACGAAGCATTTCAAAACAAACATTGGGGCAAAAATACTACCTAATGAAATTTCGAACATTCAAGACGTTTTCCTCATACATGCACCTCATATAGTTGTTTCATAATGATTAATTAGTTCCGTCTGCCTCATATCTTGACCTACATTTAGAAATTGTTAATGATGGTCGGTTGAGAACTAAACTTAATGACAAAAAAGATGATTTTCAATTTTCAATTTGTTAACATTTCATTTCTGTGTAGCAACATTTTAGCAGCGCTGTACGGATTACATATTTCCCAGTTGATACCACATTCCAGGGTGTGAGGTTCCTATTCTAATCTTATTGATAGAGGTGTATTGCTCACAAAGAAGCTATTGCATCAAACGGTCCAAAGTTTTAAGATGAAAAGATCCCGTCATACAATTCCCAAAAGCCTCAGTCTGTAGTTTGTTTGGTCGAATATGACTGTTTTGCTGAGTGAAAATTCATATTGCTATTAGATGTGTCTCGGTATTTGTACATCCAACATTCATGTATTTAATTATTATGTTCCATATGTAATACTGGTTAGATGTTGTTTTATGTCTTATCGTTTGTGGTTTTCATTCTATTTTTATTTTCGTTATGAACGTAAAAGTAAAGATATTAATCACCTAGTTCATTTATATGATTGTTAGGTTAAAAGCAACTATATGCACATGATTTATTTGTTTTTCACAGTTTAGAGGGAAAACCATTGTTATAAAATACAAATAAGTTCACCATTACTAACACAATTCTATATTAATATTCTTGTAATGGTCAGAAAATACATAAAATAACACCATTACAAACTTAATCCCAATTTCTTATTGTATTTTAAGAAATTTACCTGTGACGTCACTTTTTGTGGCGTTGGTACATTCGTGTGACGCACAGTTCATTATTCTATTGTGCTGTATTTGTGTTCTCTCGTAAATCAATTTTAGGTGTTCGTTGTTATTCTGTGGTTTACATGTTGAAATGGACTATTATATTATTTATTTGTGTATTTCTCTGTACTGAATGTTCTTGCATTTATTTGTACTTTATTCCTGTCACGTAATGCTGTCATTTTAGCGGTATTTTTAATATTGCTATATAAGCGGGAGGTTTGGCTAGCCATAACCATAAAACCACGTTCAACCCACCATTTTTTTCTTAAAATGTCCTGTACCAAGTTAGGAATATGTCAATTGTTATTACATAGTCTGTTTCTATGTATGTTGGCGTTTGATTTTTGTAGCAGTTCAGTGTTTCTGTTAATTGGTTTTGTTTCGTCTAACAGTTAATGTGTTTCCCTCAGATTCGGTTGTGACCCGGATTTTTTTCAGTTAAATCGATTTATGACTACTGAACAGCGGTATTCTACTATTGCCTTTATGGTATATATGTGTCACACATGACACATTACAGAAAGCCAATTATTTACCTGATTTTTACTTGATAAAAACAACGTGACGGATGTCACATCTGGAGAAGGAACAAATTAATCATCTTGAGCACCTGAGATCAACCCCACATTTAGGTGGAGTTAGTGTGACTTAGTCTTTGGTATTATGTGTAGTGTCTTGTTATATTTTTTTTAATTTTTTTTTGTCGTGACTGAGGTTTAGTTTTTTCGGTTATTGTTTTGCATTTATGATTTTTAAATTCCTTCTTTATCTTTTCTCTCTTTATTACATGTTTGTATTGTAAACTTCCATGTAAAAGTTTTTTATTCAATGAAGGTGTTTTACTTATTATAAATAAGACGAAGGATACATTAGAATACTCACCTGATATTAAATATTCATACCCTGTTGATAAAAACACTCCACATGAATTTGTCGGAGAAAGAACTTTAATGATACGTGGGAGCTTAATCTACAACACTACAAAGTGATAATAACGAACAATGGTATATACAATATTTAAGTATTACATGTTCCCTTTAAAATTAAGAGTCGACTTGCAATCGAATGACTCTGTTGTTATTCATTTATATTTATTTATAACACAAGCTTTCACTCAAAGATTTTAGCGATATATGTATCATTCAAATCTTCGTTTTCTAGTTTTCTGGGTTTTTTTTTTGTCAAATGTTGATGTCTGTCATTTACTTCCTATAATGTTGTAGGTATAGCCGTTTTAAATGGGTTTTCTTACACAATTTGATATTTAGTGTTTCCTTGTGTGTTGTGCATTATTTACTGTAAACATATTTCTGTAAGTATGTCAACACAATTTCAAAGCAATGTGTTTTATCTTTCAGTTTTTATCCGTTTATCTTCAAGAGCTCATATTACTGATTAGTAAGTACTGTTACTTAAAAAAAATATATGCCGAATTATTTTATGTGTAAAATTATTTTTTATAAGTTGTAAGGGTGACGCTAATTAGACAAACAATGAAAGTAAAATATACAACGTTTGGAAGTGTTTGCAGTTTTCTAAAAATTCAAAACTTATATTGGACAATAATTTTTTGTGAAGTTATGAATAGTGTGATTTGATAAATTTATAGTACTCAATTTCAGAAATTTAAGCGAAGTTTTTATTATTGTGAAAATTGGGACGAAAAAATGTCAGAAAAAAAAACTATTCTCATTTCAGATTCGGATAGCAGCATTTCCTGTAAACGCAATAGTTCATCATACATTTTTTGCACATTATGTAACAATCGCAATTATAATAAATAAAACGGAAAAACTTCTGAAAATACAGTACTTGTTATACATCAGCGTCTAATGGAATAACATTTAGCACACGTAAACCAATTTGATACGAAATGGCTATTTTGCTCTGCACATTTCTGAAATGAAAGAAAAATAAATGATTATGTACTTAATATTCAGTATTTAAAATTTCAGACTAGTGCATTGCGAAAAATTAATTCAGTACTTTTCAGATTATTCGGTTGCAGTCAATGAAGATCTGTTTAGTTTATATTCAGAAGTAAATTGCCTGTACACATTTAAAGCATACTGAATTGTCTGAAAAGCTACTAAACAGTGTTGAAATGACTGCAAGCGAATTGTCTGAACAGTACTGAATTTGCTACAGAGGATAAGGCTGGAAAATGCCTGAAAGAATGAAAATCACTTAATAATTTATGGTGCAGTCTTTTCATATGGTGTTAAGATCAAAATGACCATTTAAGGCTAAATTCGTTTGCTATTGGCGCTTTGTCATCTAAAAATAAGATGATGTTGTATGATTGCCAATGAGACAATAATCCAGCATATGCCTATGACCACAGAAATGTTATCTACGTGTAAATATATCAAAGAATTTTCTTTATATAAAACTATGCATGTTAAATTATACCACAAAATTATAATTCGGCTTCACTGTGTATTCAATTTTATCGACCAAGGGTCTCTGGCTTTCGATTATTCCTCTTGTTGCTATAATGTAAAATAAAATTATATTTCAATGATGTTGGTCAACCTTTCAGGTTTGCATAGACATAAAACATTGTTGCATATAAAGATAAAAGCTAGGGTCATGATAACACGCTACATGAATTAAATATGATTAATATACATTTACCCGTAAGTTCCTCGGTAACTTAAGTATAAAAGGCAAAGCTGATTATTAAGTTGATTTTACAAGGTTTTTTTTCAACCCCAGGTAAGGCTTTTTATGGCATTTTTTCGAATTTTTCGTGATAACCATCTAATGAGTCTTGTGTAGACGAACGTGCGTCTGGCATACACAGTTAAAGGACCAGATATATTTCAGTGCCACTGCTTTTTGCCCAAGTCTAGGCAGTAGTTTACCGAAGTTCAGTCTCTTTAATTGATTAGGAAGACAAATTAAGGCAACAAGCACATACTGAACTCCAAAAGGAACGAGACCAAGTGTTTCTATATGGTTTATTACGGCGACAGTAGATAACCTATGTTCAAATCTCTTAATCAATTACGAAAGACAAATCAAGTTTAAAAAAAACCGAGGGAATCGCGTAAACTCCAAAAGGAGCGAGATCGAATGTGTCAATATAAGGTTCGATATAAGACACACTCGGTTGATTTAAAAAATAAACCGGGAATCAAATTTTTTCAAGGTACCCCGTTGTATTACATCAACGACGGTGTTGTGTTTCGTTTAATTTTGACAAAAAAGCTGATTGATTTTTGCATATGCGCTTACCCTTTGCATCCACCTAAACATGCAATATCCGTAACATTAAAACGCAAACGTTTTTAGAAAGTGTTTTGTAGATTGTTGTTTGTCTTTTTGTCGGTTTTATTTTGTATTTGGCATGATTCGGTCGGTCTCTCCGACTTATGAGTATTGATTATCCTCTTGGTATCTTCAGGCACTTTTTGCAGTGATGTCAGCATATGGATCGTGGACTTGTATTTACAATAAGTTAAATACACCTAATCATTTGTGTGTTTTTTTTTTTTCATAACTGAAAATGATCACGTTATTTCAAAAAACATCGATGATGAGAGTAGATCTTCGAATTCGGGGTCATAATTAGATATATTCACAACTGTTGTTCGATTGCAGGTGATTTAGATCGAGACTTATTGTTGAAATAATTGATTTTGGTCGACGCTTGGAAGATGTCTTCTTGTTTTGTTATTTTTTTTCGTTGTGTTTCTCTTTTTCACGTGGACCACACTTCTTTTTATTCTTCCTTACATTTTTACCAGAAAAGTCATTTCTAGAGATTATCTATATCTACAATATTCACATACCAATGTTTAGTACCCTTTACACTTATGAATACTCATTTTTTGTGCACAATAAGGAATGTATACTCTTCAAGCTTACCGAAAGTAGCCCGACATAACTTCTTTTGATTGGTATCATACTTTGGACATTTTTGGCATCTTCTACCATACGCCACCGAAAAAATACATATCAGCGCAAGACACATGATGGTCACAATAGTTGGCCTCATGGTTATTCTGAAAAAGACTACTGAATGTAACCAATGTCAAGACCGTCATTTTCAATTATAATCCTTAAACTAATACCTTTATAAGAAAATCAAAAGGTGCCATATGAAATAGCAAATTTTCAGGATCTTTTAGTACATGTTACATGCTTGACTTACCGAAAACAAATTTAAGTTAACTAATGAAGTTTACATTACACAATACAAGTATACTTCGAATAAAAATTAGAATTGATCAAAAAATGGTATGCTTCTTCTGTGTTAACATAGAATAGAGTTGATATGATCATAATTATAAACCAACTGTTTACAATACTTTGAGTTTTTAGAAATACAAATGATGTTGTACCCTAAGAATACATTACCTTAGCTTTATTTAACCTTAGCTATATTTGACCTTTCGAAACTTTGATATCGATGAACTTCTTGGTATACTATGCTGTGGTTTTCAATATAAGATCGCAATTTATATTAACTGTTTCACATAAAAACAGTGTGTTTTTTTTTAATTTTTGTATTCAAAATACAGTTGTTATTTCAATTTGATAGATACAATGTATTCGTTATTTTATATTAGTGTTTACTTTTGAAAGATATAGGTGTTCATTGTCATTATAACACAGACTTTTCAGAATGACTTATGTAGGATCAGGTATTAGATAATGAAGCGTTTAAAGTATGAATTAATCATTTTATGCTAAAATGTGTTTGAGATTGCAATAAGCAGAAATGAAGAAAAAAAATGAAAAAATGCCACCACGAAAGTTATTATTAAGATGTGACAACAAAACGTATAAAATCATTATTAGAGTATTTCATAAACACTACAACTACGAATACCTTTCTAAACGAATCATAGGAACATAAAGGACATTTAACATAATGATTAATAATGGACCTTAAAAATGAAACAAGTATAATAATGCTAGTAATAATATAAAAAAAAAATGAAAACAAATATTTCATGCGTCTGAAGCTCTTTTCTAGATTTACCTTTATCAGACAAGCTCAGAGCCGATAGTTGATGACCTAGGATATGAAGGTACATCCGGTGGTTTCCGCAATCTTGGATTATAAAACAGCAGAACACAATCGGTTTAGATCTTTAATAAAAAATGCAAATTGTTTTGGAATAATGTTATTCATTGGTTATGCTTTTCATCTTAATGAAGACAAATAAGGGTTTTATTATATTTTTTACGACTGTTTTTTACAAAAACAGAATATTTCTAGTTCGAATCATATTGTTTCAACTTTCCAAATAATGGAAGGTAACTCAAATAATGTTACTTGTATAAAGGAATGTGTTTATGTGATAGAGTGTTTTATATTAATATTTATATTCTTTCAGAATAATTAATATTAATTAGTAGCTTTATTATATGTATTTTAAGAGTTCATCAGTTCTTCTATTCTCTTATGCAATCTTATTTTCTTGGTATGTTATATCTTCTTAGTACTGTAGTTCTACTCTTTTTTCTGGTTCATTAGTTAGTCAGTCATGTGTCAAGTTAACATGTCTTCTATTGGTCATATTCATTGAGTTGAACGTTTTACCACACTTTTGAATACCTTGAGAGAAACAAGCTATATATCATAGAATACAGCAGCCATGCATATTTAAAATATCATATTGTTATATATTCTGGACACTAAATCCATATTAATCAGAGCAGTTAATAATATTTCTTAGTCTTAGTTTTCCTTTAGTTTGACCTGAGAGAAAATGCATTTTTGAATAAGTCAGAATGATTGTTCATGAATGATCAATATTTTATTTTAAAGAAGTCTTTCATGAACTCGTAGAAATACTATATCATAGATATATAAATGATACATGTACTGGTACAGTTATATTATCATTACTAAAGGTCCAAAGTAATGCCTTGTGAACATTATACTTATTGTTTATAAATGCTATGCAGATATAAACTAGTTCCCTAAACTTATGAAGGTTATATTTATATTTTGTACAAGAACAGAATATATTGATGTATTAATGATCTTGTGATGTTACCAAATAGGGAATAGACCTATGTACCATATGCATGGTACGTTCAGTGTTTTCATAATATTTTTTGTTTACTGTATTGTCTGTGTTTGCGTATTTAATTTTGGTTCAGTATATGTAATGTGTGTGTCTTGTTAACAGTAGTTACCTGTATGTAGATAATTACATGTAAACATTATAGAAATATTTCATTCATAATGCTTTGAGTAATTAGCGTTGTATTCTTAGACATAATATAGCAATTAATCCTGAATTGGTATATGATTGAGTTTAACTGGATTTATGAATTTATAATATATACACTTTAACAGTTTTGGCTGTCTTTTTGTAGAACAGAGCCAGTTGATTGTGTTTTATACATGTACTTTCCGTTAAATTATTTATAGTTATATCCCTTTGTACACGGCGGTATTGTCTATGTATTTATGTTTTGTTATTTGTGTACTTTCAGGGTTATTTATTTTATGTCGTATTAGATAAACATCTGTAAACAAGACGAATTACTTTTAATCAGTCCATGAACCATGTTACATTATGAATTTACCTATTTTGTTATGTAGCAAGAAAACGAGAACCGTGACCTCAATTTTTCTTTTTATCTTCGGAAAGCACATTATAAGAACTATCTTTTTTATCATTTTTTATTTATAAAGTGCTATCGTTTAATTTTTCTTAAATAAATAAAAAGTTTTCCATGTATAATTTATAAACGTTCTGACTGTTTTGCACAACTTATAGCTTGATAAAAAAATCCCGTGACCCATCATCTTATTATATTGAAAATGCATGATATGGCAAATTGATAAATAAGTTCTATCAATTTGAAGTGTTACCCCATCTATCTTGAATATCAAGAAAAATAAATGTCAACATGTAGTAGAGTAATGTGAATTTTAAGTCAGATTTGAAAACGATTTGCATATTGTATACAAATAATAATGGACTACGAAGTATTTAGAATAAGTTGCAATATAATCATTTAAATACAGAGCAAAATTAAAACTGACCTGTGAATTATCAAAGCTATCTTACCTTATAAAGATGGTAATATATTTAAATATTATAGTTATTGTTTATATTAAATCATCTATATATACAGAAATGAACCGGTTTACTCTTAATTAATCATTTCTTGAGACAACCGCTATTGTATTGTTTTGCGTCAATTCTTGTCAAAAACATGTTGTTGTCAGAATCATTTATAAATTTCCACTAATACGACAAATTTATAATATCAAAATGTTATTTCCGGGTTTAATGGTTTCTGAAAGACGTTAAAGTCATCTATTTCTTCTATGTGTATTCTGTGATTTAAAAACATGTACACGAGTAGTTAGATGTATAACATATATAGCCAGAGAAAAAAATGTTACCAAGTGCATTTTTATTAAGACAATGTTTTTTGTTATTCCCTAAGTATTTTCTACGTCTAGGTATACATTACCTATGCCATATTTGGCCAAATCTTTTTCAGAATTTTTCGGTTTTTTTCCATGATCTACAACTTCGTATCTAATTTTACCGTTCAACTGTTATGCATTGAGAACCACTAAGTGAGACTTATGTTTCCCAAACACCCGTCTGGTATACCAAATTAGAATTCTAGTAACTATTATGAATTTTTACTACCAACACCCCTTTTATTATTTAAACCATGTTTGGTGAAAGCTAACCAGAAATATATATAAGACATATTGGAATTATAAAATAATATTTGACATTGTTTACTCAAACATCTTATTTCCATTTACAGTAATTGCATCTTATGACAGTGAGTCCGAATCATGCACATTACAACGACTTTGTCTAAAAATCTAAAGTTGTCACTTGTAATGCTTTCGTGAAATACATCGACTGTAGTATATATAAAAATCTACAAGCGAGATAGCATAATATTACGTTTTCGAGTTTCCTGTTGGATATACCAAAAAATGTTTGCCTCGTTGTCTATTCAACATAACGCACGTACATGTCATACTATACGGACTTCATTTTCAGGGATGTGCTCCTGATACAAAAACTGCTTCTACAGAGTATGTGGAACACTGCATGAAATCGACACGAAATTCGTTTTACGGCCATCATCACAAATTTGTTGACCATTACCTCATGTCTATGTTTTAACTCACCAGCGGAATGTGTTAGAGGTCTTATATCTTTATATACTCAAATTTTCGTCTGATCCGTAAATATACCGATTTCATCATATTCTTGATTGTAATATCAGATGAGGTCCTCAATATAATGTATATAAAGCTAGCAATGTTGTACAATACCCATTTCGTACCATTGATATTGTGTACTCCGCAATTACAATTTGAAGGCGGTACGGAGACCTTTACTGTGGATTCATTTATTTTCGTTTGTACCAATTTCCGTGGATTGAGGAAACTTGCATTTTCGTGGATATTTGAATTCGTGGTTTTATCAAGTCACCATTCAAGCCTATAGAAAATTTGTTATACGTTGAACACTTAAATTCGAGGTTCCAGTGTTCTAAAAAAATCCACAAAAATTAGTATTTCACAAATAAAAAGAAATCCACAGTGATTGTAAACTTCTACATCATTTGATCTTTGGTGTTGTCTCTTTGACAATCAAACCACATCCCCTTGTTTTATATAATACCATAAAATTGAATGATATTCCTGATTTTGTACTTGATACGACCTCTCCATTTCAAGTGTGAACTTTAGGTGGCATTTGTCGGTCCTTAGAGTAACTGTAAAAAAAGACGATAGATACCAAAGGGACATTAAAATCTCACAAGTTGAAGATTTACTGATAACTCCTTAGCGAAAAAGAAGACGATGAAAAGAAAATCAACATTAATCAGTTTACAAAACACTACATAAAAACAAAAACTGAACAATACATATCTGACCTAAAACTAGATGTGGTTTCAAGGGCTTTGGAACAGTAAGCAGAATCTGCAAATGCCGTCTTGTATATCGATGAAAAGCATGCATTCCTGATTATGAATTGTGTCTGTCCT